GTTTTTCTTCCGACTGTTTCATCTTAGTATTCTCCTTTGGTTCCTCTGTATACAGAAAAAATCTGATGCTAGAATCAGACTCGCTCAGTCTGTCTGCATGCAGCAGCCGATTTCATCATGGAAGTTCTATTAACAACCAAGAGTTAATCGTTTGATATAACCATCGATCCAAGACATTCCGGGAGGAGACTGGAGTGCCGCAGGGGTCGGTGATAGCAGTCACCTTGTTCCTCATTCGCATGAACAACATCTACAGTGGTCTCCCCAAGGAGATATACATCGACATCGACATCGTTCTCGTTACCATCAGTGACACCGTTAAGGCGCTCCGTCGGAAGATGGATGCGGCTACCAGAGTAGTATCATTGTGGGCATCGTCCGCCGGATTTCGGCATTCAACCGATAAGAGCTCCCTTATTCACAATTGTACCCATCATCACCGTCCTCTCAGCACGCCTATCTACATCGACGGAACCGCTGTCCCGTTTAAAAAAACAGCTCGCGTCCTAGGGGTTCGTCACTGCATCTGACTTTCACTGCACATTTCTATGATGTCAAAAGCGGTTGCAAAACCAGACTGAATCTTCTTCGTTCTATCGCTGGACGGCACCCTGACAGTAACACGCCCGCGATCTGCTAATCTTCAAACTCGCTCCCACGTATCGAGAAGCTATCCGTATTTGTTCTGGTCATCTTGCGTCCACACCTAACGTGGCAGCCAGCATCGAGAGTGGAATGCTTCCTTTCGACCGACTGACCACACAAACTATCTGTAAGCGGGCAATAAGTTTCGCCGAGAAGACAGTCGGCCTTGACGAGGGAGTTTTCGTCCTTACCGAGGCAAAACTACTCTTTTCTGCAACTGCCAACCTGGAGCTCCCCCCAGTGTCCAGGGTCCACTGGTGTGGAGCCTGCCCAGAGCCGTAATTGACTTAGCAATTAAGAAGAAGTTTGGGACAGGATTCAACTCCCCCGCACTAGTGAAATCGGTAGCAGAACTTCAACGAACCGTATACAACGCTCATACAATCCGATATTCCGACGGCTCCGTAGCCCGCGGGCGTGTCGGTATAGGAATTACAGACTCTCAAATGTCTGTATACCACCGGCTACCGGACCAGTACTCCATCTTTTCGGCAGAGGCTGCCGCTGCTTTCATCGCTGCCACTACACCATCCAGCAGACCAATCGCGGTTTTCACGGATTCCGCCAGTGTAGTCGAGGCCCTCGGATCGGACTGATCAGCTGATCACCTGGCGGCTTCCTGAAGAGATGTTCCTATGTACATCCGGGAGGTCCCAGCCAAGGATTTGAAACACTGGGTTTCAAAGGTAATCTGGGAATCCTGGTCAGCCGATTGGCTTCGCTCAAGGGATACTTTCATCCGAAAGATCAAGCTCGACACACATAGGTGGGAGGACCTACGAGACTACCGTACCTAGATCGTGATGTCTCGCCTAAGAACGAGGCACACCAAGATTTCCTATAAATTTACTGGGAACGGCCCTTTCCGCAGGACGTGCGACATCTGCCATGTCCCGCACACGGTAGAGCACATCATATGCCACTGCCCACAATATGAGGGGCCCCGCAAATTTTATGACATAGCGGGAACTATCAGAGATGCCCTTAGTGAAGACACGACAAGAACCGCGGCATTACTCGGTTTTCTCCGAGAAGCCAGACTACTGGAAAGCATCTAACACTTGTAAATTGAACCCGACCAGATTCTGCACAACGCCACAAAGACCAACCTTAAAACGAACATGAACGAAAAACTTTTACAAGCGTTCGTACAGGCTACATTGTGACATCTCGATGTCACATTTTTTTTATGCTTTTTTGCATAACATGAATCACATTGCAAGGTAAAATTTTCCGTCATGGATTTTGTGCAAACTGCAACAAATTTCTATAACAGTAGGTATAGTTTATTTGCTAAATCGTTTTCGCGAGAAATTGGTGATTGAAGCCAGCTACACCCAAATCTCTAATCAGTCCGGAAATATGTCCAAAGTTGGTTCACTGATGAAGGCCATCAGATTAAATTTCGCCTACTATGAAGCCAAAGGGAATAGAGCAAAATATCTCAGCTTGCTACTTTGATAACATCACACTTGAGGCCCAAGCGCAATGACAGCGGAAGCGGAACGGCAGCGGCAGCGGAAAAGCCCGATCTGAGTAAGCCTACTTGTCGGATTGAAAACTAGTTAAAACCAAATCGACTTCGGTTAGGCATCTTGATGTCATTTGTGACAACTGTCAAACTTTCCGTTTCCGTTCCGCTCCGTCCATATTGCGTTTGGGCCTTAAGTCTACTTGTCGGATTGAAAACTAGTTAAAACCAAATTGACATCGGTTAGGCTTCTTGATGTTATTTGTGACAACTGTCAAACTTTCTGTTTCCGTTCCGCTTCCGTCAACATTGCGTTTGGATCTTTACAAATACATAATTTTACACGTGACGGAAACCATCTTTGACACAAAAAATGAGACGTAAACAAACATGTCATGTAAAATTAAGTGCTCCGAGACTGAAAAGTTCGGTACTCGGCGAAAAGTACGTTTGATTGAACTTAATTTCGCGTCTTTTATGACTCAATTTTATGTCAAAATAAAGGCTCGAATAAGTCAGTCTCAGGGCACCTAAATTTGCATGATTTTTTTTAAGTGTGATGGAAACCACCAAACTATCATCCGTTGAGATTTTTCTAAGTAGCCATCAACTTTGAATGATGAAACGCGACTCTCTGACATTACCCCAATTGGCACTACCCTTAATTCTATTACCCAATACCCTGAATGGCCCGTTACACCGAATGACCCTTTACTCCGCAATACCATTTCCAGAATTTCTAAGTTAAATATTCAACGAGGGAAATTGTATCTTCTTTATTAAAGTATGCAAAGCATATCATATTGTAGACCCATTATTTCATCATTTGTTGTTTTTATTTGAATTTATTTCAATACCTAATATAATCATCCAAAATGAAATAAAAACTAATCATAAACGATGTAATGAAATAAGGTTGTTAGCTGAATGCTTAAATAAAATCAACCAATCTGAACTCTATGGTATTATGGAAATCAACAAAACATTACAGGAAATACGAAAATTTAATAATGTTATTGAAATAAAGATGAACAAAAAAAAAATCCAACTGGGAAAAAACAATCTTCGTTCAGTGCAGATTCAAAGAAATGGTTTGCGGCCCATCAAGTATGAAGTAAATAGCGTTTGCTTCAGTGACCTTGTAGAAATTATCGTGATTGTGGAAATTAGGAATGAACAACATTCTGGGACTTTTAAAACTTTCCGAGATCTCAAACATGTAAACATTGGACTATGCTAGTGAGTCTTAAGGTGTTAAAAGCGATATTTATTGACACAAAAACAATGTATTCGTTCAAGAAGGTGTGATTCGACTTGCTTCAATATTCAGAAAAGTTATTATAATAATGTCGGTTTCGGTAAAATCCAGTGAGAAAGTGCGTTCCTTGAGATTTCTTTCCAAAACAACATTGGTCAAAATGCAGCAAGTTTTAATTCTTTTCATAATTTATTTTTTATATACACAATTTTATATGTCATAATATGTTTTTTTTTTCTTGTTTCTGCTTTATACTCATAGATTATTACACTGCTTATTGGCTTATGCTTAGCTTACTTTCATTCCATTTGTGTTTTTTCTTTAACATGTTTCCTTTTTCATTTCTTCATCATTCAAATTTACTTATAATCAATTATTTCGTTACTTTTTCCAGATTAAATATGTAAATTTGTCATTCTCATTTAACTAGTTTTTTTGTTTGTTTTTGCTCACAGTTGGGAACAAAACAAATGGAAAAAGTAGAACGGGGAGAGTACGGCGTTCGTTACCGATATTGCATGTAAACAAACGTAATTATTTTTGACTAAACTAGAAAACAAAACTTTGTTTTTGTTCCTCCGTTTTCTCCTTCGAGAGCTAAACAATTAATTTTGATTTCGAACTAACGTACAGAGACTTCCACGTCAAAGGTTTGCTATGTACAGAAATGATTTCCGAAAATTTGTATGGTTTTTGTTTTTTTCTTTAACTACTTGATGCTACATGATTTTGTTTTTTTATTTTTTTGTTTCAGTGGGAATAACTTTTAGTTGAGTTTTTGTTTATTCTGTTCGAACAAACGCAGTCACATCCATATAAATTTTACATAATGCAATTTATGTTACTTGTTTTAAACATGTTGTTTGAACGGTTATAAAATTACAATTTCACGTGTTGTTAGCTTGAATGTACAGGTTTTTGTTGTTGTTCTGATGAAAGATGTTCTACGAAAGGTGGTACTGTTTTCTGGAAGCGAACTGGATTGTGAGATTCGATACTATCCTCGTCAAGAAGGGAGATGCTGTGCTTTTTTATATTTCCTCGTATGTACAGAGAGTTCGAGTCTATGGACGGCCATAAGATTGCAATTGTTGTTCTCTTCAATGCTTGTTCTTTGCTATTGTTTTTGTTTTTCTGTTGAATTGGTTTCGGAACTGAGAAAGAAAGTTGTATGATTTTTTTAAGTATACTACTAACACTTCCTGTTAGGGCCACAGGACAGAGGGAAGCTTGTTTTGTACATATTGAAATAAATAAATATATTCGACTAAAAATAGTACACTTTCACATTGTTGTGATGCATTTGTATTGCATTAACAATTGTTTGCTTTGAAGTACGTTCCATTTTCATTTTTCTTTGTTATTTTGAGTACCTAATAAATCGGTGTTTGTATCGTGACGATATAATGAAGGATTCGCTCTACGAGAAATCCGTCGGTTTCATTTGTTTGCACTTTTCATTTTGACAATCTAATCGAGAATGGCACCGAAAACATTTCTTTCGTGATTGATTTGTTTATGTTGAGCATTTGAATTAAGTGGGATTTGGAAAATTGTGTTCGGAAATGACCGATCTTGAGTAGATAAAAATCCAGGATTCGGCTTGCTTCGATCGGTGCACTGGGTTCATGGGATGTCATCGTCAACGACCGAAACGTTGGTTTCGATCTCGAGCTGTCGATGGTGTCGATGACTGTCGTGGTTGCTGTCCGAGTCATTATTTCTATCGTTATCAATTAGATTAATGTTTGTTATGTTACTATTCTCTAGAATATTAGCACCCATCAAGATAGCTGGTAGTTCTTCTTGCTGTTGTTGTTGTTGTTGCCGATGGCGTTGTTGCCTCGCTTCCGCATCGTCCTGCGCCTGCTGTGATGAGGTCTGGTTGGACGAATTCCCCAGTGGTGTTGACAGATGATCCAAGCTATTGACATTGTTGTTTGTGCTGCTACTACAGTTGCTATTGCTGTTTTGACTGACATTGTTATTGTTATTGCTGGCAAAATTGAGTGAGCTTTGAAACTGTGTAAACTGGCTGGTGGTAGCCATCAGGGAGGACAAGGCAGCGGCGGCAACATCCGAACAGCAACTGCTGTAGTACGAAGTGGACGACGGCGAAAGCGCTCCTAGCGCGGATGAAGAAGAAGCAGCGACCTGCGCTTGTGTTTGTGACAGCTGCTGAGACAGTTGATGATGTTGTTGTTGCTGCTGCTGTTGTTGTTGAAGTTGTTGCTGTTGTTCTTGTTGTTGCTGCTGCTGCTGCTGCTGTTGTTGCTGTTGCTGTTGAAGGGCTGCCGCGGCCACTACCGTGGACGACGTGCCGCCCATCATCAGTGAAGATCATGTCGTTGTCAACTGACGCCACACGGCGGTGTGTCACATCGAAGGTAGGTACGGCCACGAAAAACTACTGCCCGAGAGCAGCATGTCGCGGATTAACGTCTCGATTGGCGTCTTGCCGACCAGCCGGACAAAGAAGAGCTGTTCTATCACCTGAAACGGCAACGGATCAGCATTGCATTAGATTGCTGGTTGTTTCAGAATTGATAGAAGCATCGAGCTCACCTGTGAGGAAACCGTCCGCAGCGAGGGTAACCGCAGCAACAGTTTTCCGAATCGGGTTGGCTGGTTGGGATACTGAGACCGGCAGTACTCCTCCAGGGCACACTGGGACTTTTCCTGCAGCGATTCAATGTGAGCCACGTCCGACAGGCCGCAGGCATCTTTAAATGAAGAGATAGAAACAGTTGGAGGTAAGATATTATGTCAATTCGGTTGGCGTGCAGTTTGGATGTAAGCATGGGAAGGCGGAAGGATTTCGGGTGGTTTGGATGGGTTTTTTGGTTAGAAGGGTTGTAGATTTTCTGTTTATAACCACCTGTCACCGAAGAATTTTGGATTGTGTTAGAAGAAGTATGTGTGTGATTTATTGTGGGATGAAAGCATCGGTTAGTCATGTGCGTGGTGCTGTAAGAACTTAAGCTGCGTGAGCGTCTTCTAGGAAAGTTATGAACAAACAAAACAATATCAGTAAGGGGTCGAAACAATAATGAGGTCTGGAAATGAAAAAGAAAATTATAAAGTTAGTAAAAGATAAAGTACAATGAAATAAATGAAATGCAGTTCCATTTAAAATATTTTGAATACAATACATGCGCCATCTTAGATCAAAGATATTCCTGAGCGATTTTAACTAGAGAAAAATCCTATGTAGGGAAGTTATTCTACTGCATTTTCAATAATACATTGCCTTCATTGCGCTAGATGATACATGCAGTCCATTGAGGTAGTGATGAAAAATCTATTGAGGAGTTCAAAGTGATAGGGGGCCATGCATTCATTATGTATCGCGAAACTGAGGAAAAAAATACCTCCCCTTCCGTCACTTTTTCCTATAACCATTACATTGCTTGTCACAGAACCTTAGAACCCATGACCCCCACCGTATAGCGTGACTTAAATTATGTATAACCCCTTGATCATTGAGTGTTTACTGAACGATATTGTCGTTTTGCTGATACACTCCAAATACGGAAAGCACATAAGAATCAGTTCGTCCACGATCACCGAAATGTAAATGTGTCACATCACAATATACTTTCCCAGCATGACTTCATTCACATTCAACATCGAACCTTCAGTGGTGAGTGTGGTGAGTTCCGAGATGGAATAAGTGAACGAATTCAATTACCGTCAATTCATCTGCCCAATAAAAATCAATTAACCGGGTAGTAAATAAAATTGAGTATCGAAGTAACCGGTGCGCATTCCGTGGCCCAGAGCAGAACAGAGCCAGCAGCATTCATAACAATTTCATAGTTTGCCATGATTTCTTTTTGTTTTTCGTCAATTCCACTCAAAGGATCAAAGTTCACGATGCAGCAGTGCTCGATTCGATAGGTCTGCTGGAGGATAGTGGCTATCATCATGGTGAGACGAAACAACTCGTCAAGATTGATCTCTTCGCCGTTTTTCGCTGTGAGTGAGCGAGCGAGTGAGTGAGGAAACTTTCCCGCTGCTCGTCGTGTACTCGTGGATGTTTATCGACCTACATATGGGTGTTTATAATCAGAGACAATTTTCTTTAATTGATCTGAATGAAACGAAGAATGTTTGTTTTTAATGTTTGAGAGACTTTCTGCTTATTCTACGACGACGACGATGACGACGGAGATGACGGGTGACGGGCGGAGAGCGCGTCTTAATTGTTGTAGTTTCGATTAGAAGCGAAGGCGAAGCTGACGATTAGACTTAATTTCTGTTCTTTTCTAGTTCGCTGCTAGAAAAAGCGGTAAATTGGAAACAATTTAATTGAATTTTATCACCCCGATCATGGTTTGACATCACTCGGGCGCCCGTATACATCCGTTGATGGAGACAAGTCTACGCGGTCTATTAGAGTGTACAATTACGTAAGACTTTGCTCTTTCATTCGATTACTGCGACGGCTGGATGGAACGAACGGATTTGGAATCAATATTTCCGTGTTAGAATTATCGTTGTAAATTTTCTCCAAATTAAAATAATTTCAACCTGACGACAGAGGGCGCAGCAAGCTGTCATTCATAAGTTTCGTCATGGCCAATTAGATCGGGATGACGGGCGATTAAGAAAAACAGGTGACAACGTTCAGCCGTCGTTGTGTCGTTACTTTATGGGACTTTTGAAAAACGGAAGGGTTCCACCCTCAAATTAGAGACTATCGTGACTGACTGACTGTGTCAGAACGTGTGCTTCGGAACAGATGTTATCGCATCTACTTTATTGGTTAACCCATTAGGAGTCAAGTGGCTTAAAAGTATTTAAGAAATTTGTATAACTTTCTCCAGCGCGGATTCCGCCGCCGAAGATACCTAGCGACTTAAGTGGTTCACCCGAGCGAGCGATTACTCCCCTAAGTAAACCAGTTGACAGGGCATACTAAGTTCGAATAAATTTTAATTACCCAAGAGACAGAGCTACTCTTGATTATCTCCAGCCGCGGTCGTTGAGTTTCGAAAATCATGACCATCTTTGGGGTGAGGCGCAAGTGTTGCCGAGCATCTTCAGACGGGGGCACGCGACATTTTTTATGACATTCCATCTGCTGACGTCCGTGAAACGTCAAAGATGTTCGAGTGCACCCATCTGTACACGCCCAGTCGCAGTCCAGAGGCATTAATTATTATTTATATTTATTTTCGCGTTTATTTAGTCTTATCACCGCATCTTCTTCAATTGAGCGCAATTAAGGCGGACATTTTTTGCTTCGTTCAAATCCAAACTGACAACCACCACCGGCTGTGAGTAGCAAAAAATGTAAACAAGCTCTCTGCCACGTTCGTCGCTAATGTTTATCTGATTGAAGGCGATGAATTTAGGAGGAAGATGTCTCACTTCGTCTGCAATGAAATAAGGAAGCCCAGAGCTATGTTAAAAAAAAAAATGAGCAACGGCGGCCGGCAGTTTCTTCTAAAAATAAAGTCCTTTATTCTCGTCGATGCCATTGGCAAGTCAAGAATTGGTAGATACGAAACAAACAAAAAATGTATGTAAGGGTCCCGAAAATTGCTCATGATGATGCGTCGTCGTCGTCGCACTGGCCGTGATTTATGGACTCTTCTGTGGTGCGGACGCTTAAGCCTGGGCTTGGATTAAATGCTATATGGCCGCCGCGGCACAGCAAAGCAGAAACAGCAGTCATTGTTTCAAGTGGGTTCCTCCACCGTGAATCTTAATGGAAAGTGAGTGATTTGTTGTCCTTGTGTGTTGTGACTAGGTTTTTTGTTTTTGTTGTTTGCCTTTGTCATCTTATGAGCCCAGGAATTATCGCCGTTGTTATCTGTTTTGAAGTTAACAATTTTAACGATTTGTTAGGCAGGGTGCTGCTTTTGTTGTTGGATGCAGGAAGAATTTGAAAAGTGAATCGTCATTTGAGTTGTGACAGACGCGTGACAAGCAATGAGAATATTCATTTGTCTAATTTAAGAACCGGTTGAATGAAGGATGTGAACACGCTTCACTTTTCCGTTTTTCCCCAACACCAACGAGCATTCTCCTGGTCTTTCGATGGCAAATCCTACTCTCACACGTATTGAATATTGCCTTCCACAGGTGACATATGTACGTTCACTGCCTTTCCTCCTATGACTTAAACTTGGTAAATAGAGCTTTCTCCTCCGATATCGGAAAACTTGCTTCCATCTCTGCAGCATTTGCTCAAGAACGATCTTGCACTTCCATTTTTGAAGCCAAAACAAACGGCGTTCCTGACCTCAATTCAGGCAATGAACAAAACACTCGAGTTGGGACAATAGCCTTATCAGCTGTATGAAGGCGTGATCCACACCGAGAGAACAGCTACTGATGTATGTTGTATCGGCAACAGTTGAGAAGACAGTGATTAATTTACGTTGGAAAATTTTGGACCAATTTTCAGACAAATCTGTTAGTCTGAATGTCATTACGGTGGAATTTTCTTTTTTTATGTTATTTGAATTATTTTAATGAACTTTTTTTTTAATTGAAAGGTATAGAAAATATTAGTTTAGCATAACTTTACAGAAACAATTTATAACCGATTTACGAAAAATTTTCAAGTAAATTGTAGTTAAATAAATTTATTTTTCCAGCCATTTGCACTACCCAACTAACAATTTGAGCTGATTAAACGCCGAATAAGCATTTTTTAGGCCTGAATAAGCTGTAATTCAGCTGTTAATGTTTGCTGGGTACATTTGTAAAACAATTAGTTTTTTTGTCCCAGCCAGAGCTGGTAAATATCATGGCCGTCATGTGACGATGAGAAAACAGGTCCTCTCACTATCACGAGACAAAACTACCTATCATTAGCTTTCTTGTCATTTTTCAATGATCAAGCACTCATGAGAATTATTTTTATGCGGTTTTGACATCAACATTTCTAACTGATTTAGATGAATTCAAGCAAACAACCGTATGTAATCGGTAGAGTGAATATATTATTAAGATTTCCTCGGTACAAGTAACTTTAATAGCATTAAATGAGTTAGTAATTTTGATGATCACAACACTATCACGTTCTGTCATGACAAAAAAATCGATGAGATTTTTAAGAAAATCTCTTTCATCGTTTTCTCATCCAATGATAGTGACAGAAGTATCTCTGTAAATATCGCGTGAGATCTTTCATTGAAAAGGACATTTGCCAGCCCTGGTCCCAGCTCCTCTAATTAACCCCGCCAAAAGGCGGGAGGTGTTATAATCATTATCGACAAGAAAATTTCATCAAGATAAATTTTTGATATAACTACTCAGTCTGTCCCAAATCATATTAAAGCACAGGTACAGTGAAACATCCGTTCACGAAGTCTCTTTTTTACGCAGTATTCAATTTACGTTCCTCTATTATGAAGCAAATTCCAAAAACGAGTTTTTTTTAACGAAGTAAATCCCAAATAACGAGTTTTCTTTTTACGAAGTAAATTCCAAATAAAGGGTTTTTTTTGCGATTTTGGGAAACTGGGAAATACTGGGAATCTGAGTGACGTGTAGGGACCTGAAATCAATATCTGACGCCATTTTGAAATCCAAGATGGCGGCTTCCGGTTACAGAAAAAATTAGAAATTCTGTCAAATACCCCACAATATGGCTATTTTTCAAATCGGAGTGCCATTTTGAAATCCAAGATGGTGTCTTCCGGTTATAGAAAAACAGGAAAATAATCCCAGACAACCAGAAGTCGTGTAACAATGTGCAGACAGT